GCTCCCGCGCAGATCGAGTTTGTTTCCGATAATCGATAACTTACTCCGTTTCCAAGCAATCGATAAAAATCTATATCGATATCCTGTTTTTTGGGCAATTTTGGTAAATAAAAAGAGCTAGAGTCACCAAACTTGACATATAGCTTCTAAAATAGAATATATATATATATGCATTTGATGTTGGAAGAAGAGGGTTCAGGGTATCCCCTAGTCGGGAGCTCCCGACTAGAACCTCTTACTTGTTATACTTGAATTTAGCTCACATCATATTTATTTAACTTACAGCTGTTCTTTAAGGTTTGTGCGTGAATTAAACCATGTGTTTATTTGATTGCTAGCTTTTTTTTTATTATTATTATTATTTTTTTTTTTTCAAATCAAAACTTATTCTTTTTTTTTTTTATGCACACCTTTTAATCAACGGATTTATTAATGCATACACAATCAAGAAATCTTTTTTTAATTATTTTCTATAATTTTTTATAAATTTCTAGTTTCTTTCATTTAATATTGTCATTTAATCAACAACAAAAAGTTGTAACTATTAAGCTCACTTAATTTGAATAGTTTCAGTTATTCGTTAGATTCTTTTTAATAGACAACTCTTTACATTTAAAAGTTTCATTTCGGATTTCTATTTAAACTTCTTTAAACTCCCTTTTATCAGCATCCTCACTTATTCTTTGCTCACATCGACAACTTTTTTGTATAGAAATAATTAACCTCAAAACGTTTTCTTTATCGATTTTTTTTACTAAGAACCCTTTTTACCACACACAAAAACCGCTTCTATTTGTTTTCTTTATTAAAAGGACTTGATGATGCGTTGCGACTGTTTACCGAAGTCGCAAATTTTGTTTAATGTTGTCCACCATTTTGGATTAAAAGCTTCGTTAAAATTTTTGTACACTTTGTACTTTACCTAAGCTCACATTTTGTCTTAACTATATGTTTTTATTAGACAAAAACCGCATTTCTTTAGCTCACTTTACTTCACATTATTTATTATAAACTATTTTTTTCTTTTAAAACAACTCCTTTGCATTTTTGGATGCACTTTTCCGCCTGTCAAACGCCATTTTGATATATGCACTACAAATACATTTATACAGACATGCATACACGTCGAAAATTTTCTTATATACTTCAAGTGAAACTTTTTATTAAATAGATTTTTCTTCACAAAATTCGTTTTCCCCACGAGACACATTTTGTGCTTGCCTGTCGCCATCTTGGATCAAAGCTAATTCCTTTTCTCACAAACTTCACATATCCTTACACAGTGAAGAATGTTCTCGTGCTTTTGTATGTGAAGCTTAATTAACCTTCAATTGGATTTAATTCACTTTATTTCACCGTTTCGAAATATTTCCCTCAATGTCAAACAACTTTTACACGTGTTTGCGGTCCGCCATTGCACCGCATACACGTACTACATACATACATACACATCGAGAATGTTCTAATATACATATGTACATATAGCACATAAAGCTGAAAACTTATTTTCTAAAAGATTTTTTTATTAAGCATTTATTTATACATATATGTACATATATCTATATATTCAGCACAGATTTTTCAAAAAGTTGTCTAAAAAACACTTTGTTTATTGAAAACTGCAGTAATAGAACCCTGACGCAAATTTGTTGCTTGCTGTCCGCCATTTTGAATCGACTCCCTTTTTTTCAATTCTCTTTTGTCACCAACTTCAGCTTTCCTTACACAAAAAAGTTCCCTTATGTACATGCATGAATATACACACATGCATACACAAATGTAGATTCCATTCTTATGTGCGAAGGCATGCACGTGTGTGTGTGTGTGTTTGTGTGTGTATGCAAGGTTTGCGCTTGCGCTCCACCATTTTGAATATGTCTGATTTCACGTAGTCGCGCGTTCTCTTTCACTCCCATGCGCAGCCCTTAATTTTGCAAAGTGCTTGCGCGCACGCTCCTTACGCACTTATACATGCGCAATATTTCTATATACCTGAACCGTATTCTTGTTCTTAAAACCCAAAGTGTATGTATGTGTTTTTGTGCATGTATTTGCAGTTAAGATCTTTCTGGGCGCACGTGGCTGTCGCATTCTCACTGCACCCCAGCGCAGCTCTAAAATTCGACTTGGCGCATGCCCTTTGAGCACTTGCTACATACGACTGCCGTTTAATAGGTATTAAATAATAAGTCAACAGCTTTCTATCCAAAACCAGATATTTACATATATTATCTTAAGTATATATAAGTGCGCACAAATACATGCATATGTACGCACATGCATATTTAACATATACATATGTACATGCATTTTTATATACTTACATGTCGCCATCAGAGTTCTTTCCTTTATATAAAATGGGACACATCACTAAAAAAAAAAAAAACAAAAGCACAAGAAAAAAACACTTGCAAGTCTAGACCCCTAGACGCTGTCCAAAGAGCAACTGAAGACAATTGTCTTGTCTGGCCGTGAAGAAACCTCGGTTACCTAGCCAAAATTCGGAATCCGTCGGTTATTTTGAAGAAGCTTCTCGCTTTGCACAGACGACCTCTATTTGTCTCATTCGCACGCAGACGCAACAGACTGAAGCTGCAAAAACCGCCAGCCACAGGCGCAGACGTGTGTGATTGTGTGTGTGTGTGTGCTTTATAAGGAATGCGACAGTTAGAATAAATGCTGTTAGAGCTGCGTTGCGTTTCACTTGTTACTCATAATAACATATGTATGTATGTATTTTGTTTTGTTCATTTTCAGGCCGACACGGCAAATGTGATAGCTATTGGAGCCGCTGCGGATTTGCTGTCGCGAATTTTTCTAGCAATTACTGCGATTTTCATTCAAGTTCCCGCCCGTTACATTTACTTGGCTGGCGCGCTGTTTACCATTTTCGCTCGAATTGGTGTGCAATATGGATAGCAATGGGAAATCATGAATATATTTATCAATTAACATATTGTTGCAGCTCTCAATGGCATCACTGATTTTGTGGGCATGGCCTGCATCACGGCAGTGCTCGGCTTTTTACGCACTTGGATCCATGTGCCGCTGCCGTTGGTGTTTGCCGACTACTTGCCAAAGGAACGGTGCGTTGTCGTGTATTCAAAAGCACAGCTCCGGGTGGATTTACATGTTTTGTTTGTTTTCTCTTCCCCTTTTTCGTTGCAGCTTTGCTAGCGGCTATGGCTTGTTCATGTTTACACAGGGCAATGCAATGTTTATAATTGGACCAATCGTGGGCTATATACGAGACTGCACGCAGGATTATTTGTTGGTTTTCCATATACTGAATGCATTCATGGCCTTGTGCGCTGTGCCTTGGATCATTGAGGTGTTGATCGTCAAATTTCGCCGGCGCAACAAAATTGAACGCAATAATGTCTGCGAGCACGGTAATGGCAACTATAACGCGGTGCATTGAGCACTTTGTTGTTATAATTTTATGAATATACAATAGAAAATGTTTATTCTTGTACGTTCTTTTAGGTATTATTGAATTAAAGATATGCTGATAGCAGCAACAACAGTAACTAATATTGTGCATTTTGCCTTAATACGTTATGCTTACAAATATTATTGTTTTTGTACACTTTGTATTTTCGCGCTTTTAACTGTTTATTGAAAGCATTGAAGCGATAGGCACTCGAGTATGTAATAACTATCGAATATAAATGCATGACTTGATATGCACCTTACCTAGTAAAAGCAAATATAATATACAATTTATTTGTTCATTCATTTTATGGCATATTGCATGTATGAGCTCTTGTGTACATAGACTCAAAGCTTTATTATATGCTTATAAGAAAAGTCTTTTATTTATCGATTGAGTGCCATAACACTTACCTTTTCGTATGCTATTTATACTAAGTGCGTCAAATTAGCGGCGGTGACAGCGTCGATTTTTTGTACTTGTTATCGGAAAAGGAATCGCTCACTTTTATATGCATTTATTTATGTTTTTAAGCACGAAACCAAATAAATTTGAATACAGAATATGTTTTTGCATTTTAATTTATAATATGATTATTGTAATTCTCATTTTTCTATTTTTCTTATTAAACCCTATGTTATGACAAAAAAAAACTATCTGGCCATATATACTTAACATTTTTATTCATCAAAATAGCGGCAATATTTCAACCTTTATTATTTCAATTTCTTCGATAATGGCCCCAATGCAAAGTAGTTGAACATATAGATCGCGAATTATCAATTTGCTTTTTTACATCAAGAAAATCGGCCAGCCAGTTTTTAAAAAATTCTCATTTTTCTTATTATTCCCTATGTTATTGCAAAAAAACATTGTACAGTAATATTAATGGAATCGTTTGTTCGCGCCAAGTACTTGTACTCAGTTATCGATACCACTTCTTATCGATGCTACGCGCAGTTGGCTGTAGTATGTTTACAAATTATTTAAGGCTAAATTATAATAAAGCGCAATGGAAACGTAAGTGAAGCGTTTAATACGAACTGAGAAATGTGTATTAACATACTTAATTCTTGACAGCGTAAATGCCACTTATGCGTACGTCACAAATCTAGAGGTAATGCACCTACTACAACAGATTAAGGGCACCAAGAAGAAGTTTGGAATGCGCAACCTGGCTACGGTCACCTACGAGGTATAACAGGTCGAGCAGAATGTCAGAACTGGCATTTAAACTAAAGAAAAAGTATTATTTACACAGGCCCTACAGTTCCTGGAGGAATCGCCTTGTAAGACGCAAACACGTGAGTCCATTAATAGCTACTTGTGCGACTTGGCCGCCTACAGGCTGATGCCCCACGAGATGCTGCAAATGGTCAATGATCCGCCCACAAGTGCGCTGCATACTCAACTGGTGAGCGCAGTTTAAGTCCTTTAGTGTGCTTGTTACTATTAAATATATTGATTTGCTACAGCTCATTGATGACAATAAAATCCCACTTACCGACGAGGAGAACGAGGCTATCATTGAGCTAACGCACAAACACTTCTATAACTCTGGCGCGGATCAGTTGCAACCCAGCCAGGCGCAGGGATAACTAGAGTTTAAATCTTTTTAATATTTGATGTAACTTGCGTATAAAATAAGCACATTTCTTAAACAGGACGAAAATGTCTATTGGTTCTATGATTTTAGATTAACGCTTCTGGTCGCCTAAATCCTCGATGACGTCTTCATCAATTTCGGCCCATTTATCGGGAATGACGTCAAATAAGTCATCCTTCACATCGCCCTGTATGACAATTTCATCATCGCCAGTTACTGACGATCCGCAAGCGAACTTCGTTCCAAAAAACTTAGCAGCCACTTTGAGATCAATATCTGTAGGCGGGTGAACAAAATCATGAGTGTATCCATATCAAGTTGCGGGCATAACACCTACCAAAGGTGCTCAGTCCGGTAACCACTGTTACAGACTTCTTCTTGCCGCGGGCAGCACGTGATACACATATGCGTTTGGGGACATCCTCCTTCTTTTTGACACGCAGCAGCCCCTTGCCGCCACGCTTCTGACGCTTCTTGTCGTCATCTGTGCCATCTGCCGCAGCCTGCTCTTCCTCTATTTTAAGACGCTCGAAATCATCGGGCAGATTGCGTTCCAGCCAGTCCTTGCATTTATCGTACTCCGGATAGTATTCACAGTACTGCAAACAATTTGTTAAACGACAAATGCACCGTCCCAAATATGCGAAATTCTGTTACCTCTATCGGCATGGTGCAGTGTCCGCAATATTTCATGACTATAGGATAAGTGACATTTTCACGCGGACCCACTTTGAGCCGCTCAGCGACATTTGTGCTTTCGTTTGTCATTTCTTCGAATTGATTGACTATTAAATTGTGCAAAACAAGCTGAGGGATATAATTTTGCACAGAAAAGACGAAAGTATGGAAATCGAGCAATCAATGTGTCGATACCACCAGCCGGCAGTCGGATCTTGCGCTTTACAACACTACTCAGTTGAAGCAAGGCGTTGCCGGACTGCTAACTCTACTTTGTTGCTAGTAATATAATTGATAGAACAAAAATGGGTAAATGTTACGAAAAATTATTTGATTTTGCTTGCCAATTTTCCGAGAGGGTGCAAGTGGATTTTCTATTAAAAAGTGACTACACTAAAAGCATATTTTCGGTAAAGTTGGCGCCTTAGTCCGTAACCCTTAGCCACCTTATTGTTTCTTATTGGCACGCGCGGCTCGCGGCCGTTATAGTTGGATAATTGAGTTTCAAGTTAATCTACGAAATTTTCGTGAATTGTGCATTAGATATTTTGATTGCGAATAAAAAAAGTCATCTAATGAAACAACCTTCAAGAAAGAGTAGTTCACCGTTAAAAGATCAACTTGATCGAACTGGTTCATAACTGAGTTTCTGAATGATCGTGAACTGTTTTGTGGGAGTGAAACGAAAAATAATTGCGTCACAGTTCCACGGTGCTTCAGCTAAGAAGGAATATTGTTATGTAGGATCTTGATGGCCTAAGTGAATTCAGATTGATGCCTGCAGGCACAATGTCAACATCAGTTAAGCAAAGATTACAAGAAGGCTTAATACCCATGCGGCACACTCATCTCGTATATAAATGCCTAAAGTTGTGACGTGTGCGCAGCGAGAGACAGAGAGAGAGAGAGAGAGAGAGTGAGAGAGTAAAAGTATCTGCGCATATGCTTCGCAAAAACCCTGGTCAGCTCAATCGCGAATGGAAACATATTGCGGATTGGCCAAATATTCAACCACGATACGAAGCTTATTCGAGGTCTATAAAATGCGGTGATTGCGGCAGGTGCAACTGATAAGTATGCACTCCCACACAAAGGAAGGCGGCCCCGGAATAACCGGCGGCAGCACAGAAGGCAAAATACGCTGCATTTTTCTTAGCGAATTCCACGCCACGGCGGGCTGCAAAATCAGCTGTCAGGTAGGCTGGGCGTGGGTCTATCTAGGCAGTCAACCAATAAGCAATGCTTGCGTTTTTAGGTGCCAGAAAATTATATCTCGAAAGAGGTCTTCGATGCCATCAACGTGTACATTATACCCAAGCAGCACTTGCAACGCTGCATTCTAACGGTGAATGCGATGGACGTAAAAATCGTTGGTTACCCAGTTGGCATACAGGACCAGCAGAAATATGCTCGCAATGCATTTCTCTTTAATCTGTGCTTTGTGTGTGATTCCCGTGCCCGTTCCGTGCAATATGAGCCGGTGGTGAAGAAGCTGTCGGAATATCTGATTATGATGGAGGAGGAATCATGTTTTTTGTCACGCGAGGACGACAAGCTACGGCTACAAAACATCTTTGAGACAGTGCTCCGGGATCTTAATGAACGCAAAGTGGCCACCATTGTTGAAGGCGACAACACAATCTATTTGAAAATTGTCATGCATAAGCCGGATCCGCCACCAGTTAAGGACCATATGGTCCCTCTATTATTGGCTAATTTGCGCGACACACCGCTCGAGAACTGGGATCTAACCACACAACAGGTACAGCGAGTTTATCTTTAAAATGCAATCAAATGAACTGTCGGCGTTTCTCTGTCTCGCAGATATTGCCCTATATCAATGGCATTAATCATGTGGCTCGCATAGCCGCCGAGGCGGATGTGGAAACGGATTTAGTGAAGTCTTGCATACAGAATTTGGTCTACTACGGCGTTGTGCAGCTGCTGCCCATTCTGAAGTACAGCAATGTCTATATGACCCAGAACCTAAAGCACCTCATACAGAGCACAGCGTTGAGCAATGCCTGTCGCAAGTACGTGGCTCTCCAGCCAGATAAACTGCTGCCCAGCGTGCAGAGAATCTTTCAGTTTTATGCGTCCATGACGCATGGCGTCACGCTCCGTGCCATTTGTCAGCGCCTGTGCCCGCAACATCACAATATCGATGAGCGTAAAATGGTCATCTTCGGGCTTCAGCACAAGTTTATACGCTGCATACAGAAATATCCGGTATTTACCGGTTCGGTGCCATCTGGTCGCCAGAAGATGTATACGGGGCTGATTAGTTTTGATGAGATTTGCTGCAAGACTGGACTCTCTCCGTGCACCATCGAGAAGGATATTGAAAAGGATACGAATGTGACTGTGATTTGGAAGTAGTTAATTGCGTCGTCTCTATGTGTTTAAATTGTAAATTGTCAGAAGCGTTTTTATGTGTAATTTGTGATTATTATGTTTCCATTCTTTATAAAATGTTTGTTAAATATTGAAAACAAGAAAAAAAAATGCTAAAGAGATCTGCATAGTGCTGAATACTAAATAAATAAGCAGAATTGTTAAATAAATTGTATATTAGAGTTTTTAAAATACAGCCCAATCAAAGAAACTTGTTCTTTTCATTTAGATTTAAGAACCCAATTTTAACTGGCGCTCGATTCAAATCTAGGATTACCAGAAACCTTTTTCAAAGATCTAATGAAGATACATACATATGTTAGAAATAAAATTATTAGAGAGAATTATATTTAACTTAAGCTCTCAGTATTGTAAAAACTAATGGAAATTGTATCGATGGGATATTCTGCCACACAAATTACAGTATTTATTACTAACGAAGTATACTACTTTGCTTAAGGACTTATGCCTTGCGCTCAATGCGATGTGAACAGCATACTGTCCCTTAAGCCCGACGATGTGAACAGCATACTGTCCCTTAAGCCCGACCAGCAGTCAGTCGCTAAATCAGCTGTTTGGCTTGGATCTGTGACGTCACGGCGGCTGAGTGCTACCCTAAATAAGAACACAAGCTGTGTATGTGTGTACACACATAAGCAAATACATACATACATACATATGAGTGCGAATGCGAAAGAAAGAACAACAACAGAAACCGGCAATAACCAGAGAAATGTTAAAATAGCCACGATCTCTGGCACTGGCCACGTTTTGAAATGTTTTGGCGTTATTAAACAATTTTTTTTGCTGCCATTGGGGCGAACCTAATAATTATACAGACACACAGACATTAACGCCCGTCTGTACGTGGTATCCACATATGTGTGCGTATGCGTGTGCACATATGTATGTATATGATTGTGTACATAAGTGAGACACTTACTCGCCGCTTTGGCAAAATTTTGGCATTGTTATTCGCATTTGCGGCAGCAGGCAGCGACGACGACTCATAAATAATGTCTGAAGATGCCAAGAGTGAGTAGTGCGCCGTGATATATGTATGTATGTATGTACATGCATACATGCATGGAGATCCATGCATATATACGTGTCTCTGCGAGAAATACATGGATACATATGTATAATAAACCCCTTATACTCCAGGTCCACGCACCAGAAACATTATTGAAAATCAACTTTTCCGGCGCCAGCGAAGTTTAAAGCTTGAGGCGCTGCAAAAACAGCGCTCGCAATATGGCACCATCGACGTCGCCGACGACGAGGAAGCGGAGACGTTTGGCAAGGTCAGTTTGTGCGCCCCCAGCAAGGGCAATATTAAATACCTTTATACAATATACATACATATGTACGTATTTATGTCTATATATATATTGCATATTTGTTGCAGACATACATAGTTATTATATTCACGGAGAAGGCCAAGCTGCGCCACTGTCAGGATGTGGAAAAGATCATCCAGGAGTTTGACATACAAACTACACTGGAAATTGTTAGGTAAGCTCTTAGATATGCTCGCACCCATTACGATTCTCCATATCATTCCCATTATGTTTTAGCAAAACCGAAAAGTATTTGTATCTGTCTGCCAGTCTGGATACGCTGCTGCGTCTGGCCGATGCGGCGGAACTAGAGAAAATGACAACCACGGGCAGCATGCAAAAGTTTAACCACGGCTGCGTCTCGGACTTTCTGTTGCCGGGCATGACCAAGGATCAGATACTGCACTATTGCGAGACGCCCGTGCTGATTAAAGACGTTGTGGAGCCGGCCATAAGATCCTACATACAGAAAGGTTACATCGAGGACATGTTTCCATTGCACGATATTGTATGTACTAGCCAAGGCTGCTTCAAAAGTCCTCAAAGCAATACGCACATATAAAGCATAAAATATCTATCAATTAAGATTTACTATAAAGTTAGAACCGCTGTGTCTAAGTTGATTGATCCTTCAATAAGCAAATCTATTTAAAAAACTTTGCAGCTATATTTGGATCGATTCAAGCTGAATCTCAAGCGCACCACGTTGCCCATAGAGGATATACGCAACTACTTTGGCTCCAGTATTGGACTTTACTTTGGCTTCATTGAGTTCTACACAAAGGCGCTGGTGTTTCCTGCTCTGTTTGGCATACTCCAATGCATAATGGAACTCAATCTGTCGCTAGTCTGTAGCTTCTACGTTGTCTGGACAACAGTAAGTGTGGAGCCGACTGCTTGTACGTAGTTTGGTGCTTTGATTTGTATTCTTTTTATTTCCAGATATTTTTGGAACTGTGGAAACGTAAATGTGCAGGTTATTCGTATCGCTGGGGCACCATTGAGATGAGCAGCCTGGATAAGCCGCGCGCCGCTTACCAGGGGCAACTGAAGCCGGATCCCATAACTGGCAAGATGACTCTGCATTATCCCATGCGCTTCACGTACCTGCAAATGTATTGCATTTCGTATCCAGTGGTGCTGGGCTGTGTGGTGGCTGCCGGCTGGTTTGCGCTCTATCAGTTCCAGATCGAGGCCGAGGTGCTGGCCGATTTCGGTGCAGACTCGTGGCTGCTTTACATCCCTGTCATCGTGCAGTCCGTGCTAATTGCGATCTTTTCGTGGGCATACGAGAAGCTCGCCACATTCCTAACCAATTTGGAGAATCACCGCACACGTTCGCAGTACGAGCGGCAT